AATAGTTACTAGGGTTAATGGTAACTAGTTGATTTCCTAAATCGAACCGGAGGCTATTTACCAAACCGGGTTTGAAGAACCCTACTTTTAAAAAAAATGTCACAGAAAAAATGCAATTGAGAGATGATCAAACAAGTTGACATTTTTTTTATCAACTTTCTTCATGGGTCCATCCTCTTACAGGGCGCTATGGAGACAGCTTCGCTCACTTAATATGCCGGTTTCACTGGAGTTCGACTTGGTTGGACCGTCATCCCGAAGCAGCTACTCTATTTCCCTGTTGCGAAAGACTTCAGTCAAATTATTTGCACTTGCTTCAATGGTCCCTCTCAGGCTAGTGCTCTTGCTTGCCTTTCTCCAGAAGGACTTAAGGTTAGCTTTGCTAAAGCGAGATCTTGAAACTTTTAACCCAATCCCACAAGTTTGTTCGTATATGCAAGCAAAATGGTTTTAATTTCTGAAACCGTTGCAGGCAATGCACTAGGTGATTGGATTCTACAAAGAAAACACAAACATAATCATCGACACATTCACTTCTCTTGGATACGATGTATATGGAGGAAAGAATGCGCCTTACGTTTGGGTTCGCTTCCCGAACCAAAGCTCATGGGATGTGTTTGCTGAGATTCTTGAGAAGACTCATGTGGTTACAACTCCAGGGAGTGGGTTTGGACCAGGAGGTGAAGGGTTTGTTCGTGTTAGCGCCTTTGGTCATAGAGAGAACATCTTAGAGGCATGTCGGAAATGAAGATCCTTGTAATCCATCATCATCATCTCTTTTAGTGACTTGATTATGGTTAAAATAAAATCATTTCCCATTGTTTTCTCGGATTGTAGCAACTAAGAAACAATCCCATATGTTTTTATCAGTTTGCGAACATTTTTCTCCTCTTTTAAAACGTTTAAACTGTGCAAATCTGATAAAATTGGGATAAGGATATTTTTGTAAATTGATTTACTTGAGCACCATGTGTACAACAAAGATCCGAGAAACTAAACAAGTGTCGTTGCATCCAAATCAGAATGTTAATCCTTAACATTGGGGCTTAAGGTAGTGCCGTTGGTTTTGGTTAGCACGTGCACATAGAACAGTCAAAACAGATTCTGATTCAAAAACAAAGAAAATCTAATTATACATAGGAATTAGGATCTAAATTTTGCTTTGTTACCTTTAATAATATAATACTAAGGTTATTTGGAATTAAACTAATTGGTATATTTCCTAGTAAACCGAAATGGAATCGGGAGAGTAATTTCGGTTTGGTTTGAGAGATAGAACCGTTGAAATAAACCGGGTTTGATTTCTTCTCTCACCAAACCCTACTTTTTTATCAGTCTTACTTACAGAACCCCAAAAAACACGTCTCTTGCCTCATTTTCTTGCAATCTCTCTGCGAAATCCTTGTGCGAAGCGTGAAAATGTCGATGACCCATCAGTTAACTTATTCGATGATCTCTTCTTCCTCATCATCAACTTTCTTAGCTCCTTCAAATTTTAATCAAAGGTGCTTCGATTTTTTCTTCCTTACTTTCTGCTTTGCTGCTTATACAAAATCTCCGAGGATGAAGATGAGCTGGAACTAAATTTTAATACTTTCGTTTTTCTTCTCCTACTACTGTATCATTGCTTCGAATTTGGTATTTGAATCCTCTGGTTTTGTGTAAAATCGGAGTAATTGACGAAAATGAATTTGAAGTCACTCTTGTTGTTTGGACATATATGATTACTGATGTTCTGTTTTCTCGATTTTTCCTGGTTTGATTTATGCTTTGAGATTTTTATTTTATGCTTCAGAACTCGAAATGCTTGCTTACCAATGGCAAAACGGGTCAATACTTGCAAATGCGTTGCGACTCCGCAAGAGAAGATCGGTAAAAACTCTTTGTGTCCTTGCTCTTTCAAAACATAACTCCATGTTGCATTTGCTGTAATGATTTGTATTAGTTTTTTAAATGATTCATCGTCTTTTAGCTGTTTATCTGTTCTCAAAGTCTATATCTTTACTTGTTTTTTTTTTTGTTTTCTGTATCTAGAATATAAGACAAACGTGTCACGGAATTCAAACATGTCAAAACTTCAAGCTGGATACCTATTCCCAGAGGTTTGTACCTCTTACTGGCTTGGTACTATATCAGATTTTACGATACCAGTTTGCAATGTATTGGAAACATATAAAGGAATGGCCTTTATTCGATTCTAACTCATCAAACACAGATATTGCTCCCTCTCTTAATAGAGAAAATGTCGGTACAAAGTTAACATTTTAGAAAGCTTGCAGCGATCTGAAATATGAATTAACCACACTCATTGGATTACCGGTGCAATAAGTTTTGAAATATCCTCTTTGTTTCTCTATATGATGCTCCTTCTTTTGGCAAATGCAAACAGATTGCAAGAAGAAGGTCTGCACACTTGCTGAAGTACCCAGATGCACAAATTATAAGTCTTGGAATAGGCGACACAACTGAGCCAATTCCAGAAGTCATCACTTCTGCAATGGCAAAGGTACCTCCTTATCTTTGTTGATATCTTTAATTGATTCTGCTAATACTGCATTATGGTTCATTTTGACAAAAAAAAACATTACATTTCTATATTTTCTGTTTTGGCATATTTAGATTAAAAGAAAAGTGAACTTCTCTGTAATCCATAACAATGCAAACTTAATGTAAATTGCTCTGATAGCTTTTTTTTTTTTACTATAATACTTACGCAAGCATGTAATTTCTAGAGATTTTTCATGTTTTTTTCTATTACAGAAAGCTCATGCGTTGTCCACAGTAGAGGGATATAGTGGTTATGGTGCTGAACAAGGGGCACAGGTCAGTGCACGCTTCATTGCCACCTTAATGCATTCTTCTTATTGTTTCGATATCATTTGCTTTAGCACATCCATAGTCTTGTACTGCTGCTAAACTGAAGACAAGATGGATTTAAACCTGTCTCATATTTGTGAAAATTTAATAGCTTTCATTGTTAAGTATACAAACTAACCTTGATTTTACACATTAATACAGCCACTGAGAGCTGCTCTTGCGGAAACATTCTACAGCGGCCTTGGCATAGGGGCTGATGACATTTTTGTTTCCGATGGTGCTAAATGTGATATCTCACGTCTCCAGGTTTGTTTTACTGATGACTTTTCATCCTTAATGATTACAAGAATAGGATAGCTGACCAGTTGTTGATTCTTGATTCGACTTCTTGCAGGTTATGTTTGGTTCCAATGTTACAATTGCTGTTCAGGATCCTTCATACCCGGTAATTGGGCAGATATGAAACCAAATTTCAGTTGTAGTCTTGTCTACCCCTATGCTTCATGTTAACTTTAAACTACCCTTTTTCGGGGTTTTCCGGTAATACAGGCTTATGTCGACTCCAGTGTTATTATGGGTCAGACCGGGCAATTTAACACTGATGTGCAAAAGTATGGAAACATTGAGTACATGAGATGCACTCCAGAGAATGGCTTCTTTCCCAACTTATCCACCGTTGGTAGGACCGATATAATTTTCTTCTGCTCCCCAAATAACCCTACTGGTGCTGCTGCCACTAGAGAGCAACTAAAGGAGTTAGTTGAGTTTGCAAAGAAGAATGGATCAATAATAGTGTATGATTCCGCGTATGCAATGTACATGTCTGATGATAACCCACGCTCCATTTTCGAAATCCCTGGAGCAGAGGAGGTAATAAAATGATTGATTATAACTTTCAAAAGGTCCATTTTTCTTAACCAACTTTTTCTTCATGGGCACAACCGCTTACAGGTCGCTATGGAGACAGCTTCGTTCAGTAAATATGCCGGCTTCACTGGAGTTCGACTTGGTTGGACCGTCATCCCGAAGCAGCTACTCTATTCAGATGGCTTCCCTGTTGCGAAAGACTTCAATCGAATTGTCTGCACTTGCTTCAATGGTGCCTCTAATATATCTCAAGCTGGTGCTCTTGCTTGCCTTTCTCCAGAAGGACTTGAGGTTAGCTTAGCTAAAAAGAGATATTTCAAAACTTAACCAATTCCCAAAAGTTGGTTCATATATGCAAAATGATTTTAATCTTTTAAAAACATTCCAGGCAATGCACAAGGTGATTGGATTCTACAAAGAAAACACAAACATAATCATTGACACATTCACTTCTCTTGGATACGATGTATATGGTGGAAAGAATGCGCCTTACGTTTGGGTTCACTTCCCGAACCAAAGCTCATGGGATGTGTTTGCTGAGATCCTCGAAAAGACTCATGTGGTTACAACTCCAGGAAGTGGGTTTGGACCAGGAGGTGAAGGTTTTGTTCGCGTTAGCGCCTTTGGTCATCGAGAAAACATCTTAGAAGCATGTCGAAGATTCAAGCAGCTTTACAAATGAAGATCCTTGTAATC